TTCATATGGCAAAGGCGTATTTCCTTTGTACCATCAGGAAATGCAAACTAAAACTTTATGACATAGTCTGACGTAACACTCTCTGACACGGTTTATCTCCATGAGATGTGAGAATACAGTGCACCGAGGGTGCACACTAATTTAAGAAGTGAGGTGTTCAGACAACACTCCTCATGTGAGAAAACGGCGTTTAGTCATACAACATGTTTATAGTTTCCTCGGAAATATCCATTTCTTTCCATCTTGGATACCACTGTTTTAAAAATAAACAAACAACCAGCCTAAGAAAATCTAGAGTATGCTGAAGTTAGCCCTGAGGGAATGTAACTTTTGAAGTGATTTAAAATGGTTAGCTATTCAATTAAGATAAATACAATTTTGTTAGTCACCTACTCGTGACTTGGTTTCAAGGTCATTCAAAGCTTACTCTGACAACTGTTGGTGCTGCTCAAAAGATTTTCATCTCTAACAGAAAAGCTCACAGAAGAGCTTACACTGAACCAAAAGCTAATAATAGTTGCAATTACAAAATGTACACTTTTATACTATAAATGTGTCAGGCTTTATTGCTAGGGAAACAGAAGCCAGAGCAAGCTATTTTCATGTCTATTTATTAATGGTGCAATCTAGGGACATTCGTTTCAGTCAAGTCTCTGCAGGTTACCCGTCATATCTATCTTGAATAATTTCCAATTACTACATTCCAAAGGAAGATTATATTCTTGCCTTAGCTATTTGGGGTGGAACAAAAGCATATTTTAACTAGGTTCCTTCTCTAAAAGGAGAAAAAATTTTTTTCTTATAAAAGCCAATCTAGGGAGAATCACAGTTTTCAGGATTGCATGGTGTGTCAAATATTTTAATTGTGATCCTAATGTATATCCTATTTTATACTTGAACTTTATTAAGCAGTAAACAACCCAAACAGCAGAGTCCATTAAAGTAGTCACGAGCCACACGAGGGGCTTCCCTGGTGGCTCGGTGGTAAAGAACCCACCTGCAGCGCAGGAGACATGGGTTCAGTCCCTGGGTGGGGAAGGTCCCCTGGAGAAGGAGGTGGCAATCCCCTCCAGTGTTCTCACCTGGGAAATCCCATGGACAGAGGAGCCTGGTGGGCTACAGTCCACGGGGTTGCAAAGAGACACGACTTAGCGACTGAACAACAAGCTGCATGAGGCTACATAAGTCAAATTATATTCATAAATTTGAAAATTCAATTCTCAGATACACTAGCCACAGTGTAAGTGTTCAAGACTCACAGGAAGCCAGCAGCTCCTGTATTAGCTCAGCTACGCATCAACGTGAAAAGTCTACCACACAGCCCTGACCTAAAAGAGCATCTGTTTCTTAGGCAGTAAGTTTTTGGTTGATACAAAAATGTATATATATATTTTTCCTGGTCATATGCATTCCGTGACTTAAAAAAAAAAAATTAGGCTTGATGTCAGCTATGATACTCAGAAGAATAAAATGTGGAACAATTTAATAACTAGTATACCTGTAATTTCAGTAGTGTATACTCATATAAGTTAACAGATCCTGTGTGGCTAGTGGTGAGGAAAGATCCCTTTATTAAGGCATCCAGGAAGCCTGGTGTCTCATGTGTGTTCCTGCTGCAGAGAAACCGGAAATGGAAAGAAGGGGCAGGGAAATCCATCACAGAATAATAACTTAGAAGCGGATCAGGCGGCTCCAAGTTTCACTAAGTCTCCTTAGAAATAATTCCAGAAAAGCCCCTTCTACGTCCCTTAATGCAATAAAGGCACTCAGTCACCTTCTAGCTGGTTTTAAATGAGCCAGAAACATTTAGCAATAAAACAAGCAGTTTGATCAGTACTCTTTGACTAAAATGACATAAATATAATTTGTTGTGAATGGTTATTACACTATTATACTGGTTTAACTGACATAGAACATATTTTAGAATATTCACGATATGCATAGCCACATGCATAATATGTGTTTGGTCACATAACTAAAGAGCACCTTTGGTATTTCCAGTCTTTAAAAAAGACTTGTTTCCCATCTTGGTTAAGAACTATGACAAGGTTTCTATAAGAAAATCAGGTACAAGATATTCAGATTTACAGGATAAAACTGGTATCATATCTTTCAGCCACTGAAGATCATGCTTGTGGGGAATAAAAAAATCTTGTAATCAGGAAAACGTGCAGTGACAGCGTATTTCACACAAAATCATGATTCTCCGAGTGCGTAACACGCACACACACACAGTGCAGAAACTAACAGAGAGACAGGAAGTGAGCACAGCGGCGTGTTAAGCATGGTGATATTATTTACTTATGTTTGTATCTTATTTTTATTTTCTGCAATGAACACTTAGTAAAACCCCCAGATTAAAACAATTTTTTCAACTGAGTGCCTGAGTCTGCTTTTTCCAGAGTTATTACGTCTGAAGTAAATGTTGTCTATGTTACATGCAGTCTATTGTACTGTGAATTTTTAGTAAAGAAAAGGTTTCAGAGTGGTAAATTTAAGCTAATAATGATTTCTAAAAGTTGAGGACTAATTTAAATCGTGGCAAATTCCACATCTTCTTTAAAAAACTTTTAAAAATGTTAACATCTTCCTAGAAAAATGTTCTGTTTATGTGGGCTGAGTTTTAAGGATAAATGTAACTTCTATGTAGTTTAACCCGGAAAAGGTAGATTGGATATGTCTTCAGTAAATGACCATGCAAATCTCTAAGAATAATTTTAAATGATTTTTTCTAAAATGTAAACTTTATGAAAGTATCAATAGCTTTGTATCTTCTAAAGATTATATCTAACCTCATTTATAAAAGTTGATTAAAAAAGACACTATTTCTTCATTTATTGATTCAGTGAGCATTTGCTGAGTGCCCACCTGGTGAGTCAGTCACTGCTCAGTGGTAACCAGACAACACACAGGTGCCTCACCGAGTCTGGTCAGGGATGACAGTAAACAGATAGCATGCCCGTGTTTAACTGCATGAGATTAAATGCAGTAACACAGTTTATTCTTTTATAACAAGACCCTATGGAGGTGGCCTAACCCAGCTCAAGGGCTACAGGAAAGAAGTTACATCTGAAACATTTCATCTTCTGCATCCCTTTGGCATCTACCAAACTTACAGCACACGGTATAAACTCAACAAAAGTTTGTAAAACTGAGTGAAATAATTGCTTTAATGGTAATTTCTCCAATGTGTGTCCTACTGCTTACTACAGTTTCTTGCACAGAAGAGAGCGCCAATAATATTTGTTGAAAACGACAATGAAATAGCTTGGTTTTGTGAAAAGAACACAGGATTGGGAATTAGTTTCAAATTCAGGCTGTACTACAAATCAGCCAAACCTCTGACTCAGTCTTAGAAACAGGAATAACACATTTCTCTTATTGCCAAGAGAATTACATACAATGTATGTAAACCATCTAGCAGAGTGCTGGGCTATTTCAAAGTATTAATATAACTGATCATTAATAATACTATTTTGCTCATTATTTGCAGACTTAATAAAGGTGAACCTTGAAATAAGTCAGCAAAGTTAAAAACATTTAAAACAGAATACCCTAAAGACTTGTGTATGCAAAGAGTGAAGTTATATACACACACAAAGATTAGAGTGGATCAAGGATTAGACTCCTGGACACACTATTAATTCTGGGAAAACATGTTTTCACAAAGGGCCAATCTAGAGACACAGATGTTCAGAGTACACTGGGTAAGTTACTGGGGGAAAAGGAGCTGCCTTTTGTAGATCAGCAAAGAGGATATGCGGTTCTCTCTGCTGCTGCTGCTGAGTCACTTCAGTCGTGCCCAACTCTGTGCGACCCCATAGACGGCAGCCCACCAGGCTTCCCTGTCCCTGGGATTCTCCAGGCAAGAACACTGGAGTGGGTTGCCATTTCCTTCTCCAATGCGTGAAAGTGAAGGTGAAGTCGCTCAATCGTGTCCGACTCTTAGCGACCCCATGGGCTGCAGGCCACCAGGCTGCTCCGTCCATGGGATTGTCCAGGCAAGAGCACTGGAGTGGGGTGCCATGCCTTCTCCAGTGGTTCTCTGTAGACCTACGCAAACTGTGCCAACCTTTCTCAGCCCCTATCACGTGAGGTGCGGTTCGAGGTGCTGCGGACGCAGTGATGAGCAAGCTGTGGCCGTTGCTCCTGAGGAGGCGAACGGGATGACAGAGCTAGCTGCCTGGCAGGTGCCACGGCTGAAGGCGGCTGGGCACGCAGCCTGCTCCTGAAGGTTAGGTGGGGCTTCTTCAAGGAGACAGACCTCTGAGCTGACGCCTAAAGAGTGGGAGAGAGTCGCCCGAGGAGGAGGTGAGGGGCACGCTGTTTTAGGCAGAGGTGAAGCAGAAAGTCATGGAGGAGCTAAACTGCATGCAAGGGGAGCCAGTTTTGCACAGTCTGCTACTGCGAGCCCAGCACAGTGAAGGGGGAAGGACTTAAGCTGAGGAGGGGACAAAGAGCCCGGTGGGCCAGGCAAAACCGCCTAAAATCAGCGAGGCGGGAGTCGTGTCAGACCTAAGCAGGCTTCTGCTCACAGGTGGAAGACGCTGTACAGAGAACAAAAAGTGTCTATTTTATTCTTCTGCTTGGATAGACTATAAACGTATCCAGAATGGATGACTTTCATTAGATCATATTCTTGGCATAGTGTAGCAATCCCGAAAATGGAGAATTACTTGGTTTTAGGTAAAGACAATTCATATATCATTCCAAGAGACTATAATCAATCCAAGTTATGTCATCCCAAACAAAATATCTGATAATTTATAGGCCCCTATGAACATCCTTGCACTTACCTAGCAAAGTCTTAAGACTTTGAGTCTTTTGGTTCTACCATCCACAGCTAGAGTTTATTTGTAGGGAAGAGCATCCAAGGGAGTGAAAAAAGTTCACACTTCCCACCTTCAAGGACCTTATCATTTGGATAAGCAAACAGGAAACACTAAACTCAGGTTAAAAAGACAATAAAAACAAAGATGGGAAGGAAAAGAAAGACTTACGGAGACCAAACTCTTGGAAAAGCCTCTATTTCTTCTTGTGTGTACTCATCTAGACGTCTGGGCACTTTTCGTGGTTGAGGAAGCTCTTCTGTTAAATTCTTAAGAATATCTTCTGGTATATCCTAGATGAAACAAAAATTTAGGCTTGATTTTCTTAAAATCTATTCTTAGTAATTAATTAGTAATTCTTGTGTATAAGTGTGTTAGTCACTTAGTTACGTCTGACTCTGCGATCCCACGGATTGGACCCGGCCAGGCTCCTCTGTCCACAGACTTCTCCAGCCAAGAATACTGGAGTGGGTAGCCATTCTCGTCTCAAGGGGATCTTCCTGACCCCTGAGTGCCCTGCACTGCAGGCAGATGCTTTACCCTCTGAGCCACCAGGGAAGCCCTTAGTAATTCTTAGTAAGTATTAAGAAATAATAAGCAGAAGAATGTCTACAATAACACATTTTATATTTTAATCTTGACAAACATTTCTAATGATGAACTAGACATCTTCAATTTTGACAAGTATCTGGTCACTAAATTCTACTTTTTCTGAATATTGTGTAATTTTTTCCTCCTCCTTTCAAAAAAAGGCACTGCCTTGGATCATTCTCATAATGTTTCATCTGATGACTGTTTGTACAAGGTCTATTGCTTCCAGTGCCACAACCTTTTTCAATTTATGCTCCATGTTTTTGCCAAAAAAAACTTTCAAAAATGAAAATCTGCTGGATCCTCAAGTCATCTAGCCAGCAAGCGTTTACTGAACTCCTTCTATGAAAATTGTGTTAGGGGCTGATATAGAAAGAAAAATCAAAAGATCATGGCTTCTAAAGGCTTCCAATTTTTACAAAGTTACTCCTTGGCTAAGATCTCTCTGGACGCAGCTCTAGCTCCCGAGCCACACTAGTGGACTCACTCCCAGCCCCCCTCCAACTTCCCTTCTCCACAAGGGCCAGCGGGTCCTGAGCAAGCACCCTCCCACCACTCGCGCACTGGTCTGCACTGAGATCCTGGTGCCTTCACTAATGGAACCGTCCAGAACTGCTTCCCGCTGGGTAAACGGCCAAATGTTCAGAAAAATAAAAGGAAAGGTAAAATGTGAAAAGGTCTGAACCTAAGTAATGAAAAGCAGGCTAAAGAGTAAAGCATATATTTGAGAGGCATCTTGAGAGAATTGGACTAAATAAAGGTAATGATAAAATGAAGAGCATGGAATAAATAAATTGGACTAAACGAGGGGAATGATAAAATGAAGAGCATGGATAACCGAAAGAACTGACATTTACATTGTGCTCCTGGAAGAGAAGTAAGGGAAAGGAATTATATTGTGGATCTGAATGATGGGTTAATTCTGGAGTCTACTGAAGGAACAGTAATATATCAATATAGAAGTGTCCTATGGGCGTTTCCACAGGGACTGCAGACATAATACCCTCTTTTCATTTATAGTGTGTTCTTAACCGTTCTCAAAAAAATAGGATGACTATGTGTTTGTCTGCAGAGAGGAATAGTATACTTGGGAATCACATGTCTAGGCAAGCACATGGCATCGAACAGTCACCGTTTGTCTTCGGAACCAAAATACAATTAAAAACAGTGTCAAGGACTCACAGAGCTCTTACGCTGTGAGCTGATCCTAAAACTAAATGTGGCAAAAGTATAGTTTTCTTTTTTAAACTTGAAAATGACTTTAAAATTATAGTTTGGATAGGCTGGGTCACTATCAACACACATAAAGCCACAATAAACATTACTCACAGTTTTCTTCACTGAAAAGCATCCGAATAACATTTAACTTTCCTTCCCCAGCATACTCAAATACACAAGTGTAAGCACACAGAATCAGAATGAGCAGAGGATGCCTGGACACATTAAATATTGTTAATTATTCCTTAATCTTTACTTACTAAAGAAGTCTATCTGCCAGTTTGGTATTCATGAAAATGTATGAATATTTCACACTTCTTTGGAAAACTATTAAAAAAAAAAAACCCTTAGATCATATTTGCAAAGACAATTTTAACACTGCCAACTGCTCATTAAGCATAGAGAATTTAGAACCTAGTGGGTTTCTGGTAAGTGTTTGCTGAATTGAAAAGAATTTTGACTGAAATGAGCTTTCCAAATTTCACCACTATAAAGGGATCCACTCAAAGAATGGACAAAACTCAGTGCACAGTTAGGGATGGAAGATGCTGAGCGACATGAAACCAGAAAGGCAGGAAGGGGCTCCTTCAGCGGGCACACGGGGGAGCCGTCGCATGCTAACTGAGGGTGGTGAGAAGAGTTTCTCTTTCTGTGATTATGCCTTCCGCAGAGGGGTGGTTAGCTGAAGAGGGAAATAAGGAAAAGAATAAAAGCAGAAAAGAGACGCACGGGGGAGGTGACGATTTACTTTTTTACAGGTTTTCCTCTTTATGCTTTTGTGTCTGTTTCCTGGCCACACCTCGCAGCCAGCAGGATCTCAGTTCCCTAACCAGGGACTGAATCCGGGCTCTGTGCTCTGGAGCTGAGCCCTCGAAGCAGAGGCCTAACCTCCAGGCCGCCAAGGGAGCCCCAGTTTATGCAATTTTTAAGAGAATTTCTAATCTACAGCAAAGTTGTGAAAATGAGTGAACTCATCTAACCCTTACCTAAATTCACTAATTGTTAAAATACAACATGATTGCTTTCTGTCTATTCATAAACACACATACCCCAAACACTCTTTTTAACTGTACCACTTGAGAGTGGTCTGCCAATATTTCATCCCTAAATATTTCAGCATATATATCTTCTAAACATAAGAATTGTTTCTGACATAACCACATTACAAATTCATATTCAGGAAAAATATCATTGATGAAACATCTTTTAACCTAATATAGTGTGTGTACACACACACACACACACACACACACACACACACACACAGTATATATTCAAATTTCCCAAAGTGGTCTAATTAAAGTCTTATGTAGCTTTCTTTTTCTAATCCAAGGTCAAGTATCACATGCTACAACTAATATGTTATTATGTTAATATACATAATTCATTCTTTAGTATAGTTTCCTTTGATTGGAAGAGTTTCCTTGGTTTATCTGTCTCTTAGGAAATTAATTTTTGAAGAGGCCAGGCCAACTGGGTTGCAGAATATCCTTTTTCCCTTGGATTTGCAGAACTGTTTCCTCATTATTAGATTCAGGTTGAACGTTTCTGGCAGGACACTATTGGGTCTTCAGTGCTTCATTCGAAGCAGGAGGCGTACAACATCAGTTTATCCCATACTGATGATAGATGTAACGTCTTGGTTATGGGCGGTGGGCCAGACGGCTTTAACGTAGAAGACTCTCTTCCCTTCCTAAGTGCTCTGTGGCAGGTTTTGAAACTCTGTGAATATCCTGTTCTACAATGTTTAACTCAATGGATATACGATACACTAATGATGGTGGCTCTTCTAATTCAGTATTATTTCCTACATGTTTTAGATGATATTCTTCTCTAAAGAAGAGCTCTTCCTTCTCAAAAAGGGAGAAGGGAAATTATAATAAGTTAAAAATAATTTTTGGACTACCATTGTGGGCTCCTAGATTTCTGTTTTCTGCTCAAAGTAGCCCATCATACGCCCGCTCATCTCACGGCTCACGCAGTCCCGTGTGTGCCTGCGGGCGCCGCTTCAGGTTGCCCCCTGTGTGCAGACACCTCTCCATCGGCCTCTGAGCTCTGTCTCACTTTCTTTGACTTCTTAGTTTGCTATCAGAAACAACGCAGAAATAATAATCTTGTGCATGTGTGTGCTCCAAAATAAACTTCTATTTTTGTTCCAGACCTAGAATCAACCACTTCTCTAAGAATCGCATTCCTTTTAATATGGAATAGCACTTAGAAAACAGTCTGGAAACCAGTTCTGCTGACTTCTATTAGTACTGTCATTTTATTTTTTTAATATATAAAATCTTAACATGATAAAAAAAATCTAAAAAGTTATAATAATCTAAAAGGCTTTTCTCCAAAAAGCTCATTCTCTTTCCTACCAATCCCTTCCATGTGTTTGTGCTCTTGATCTAGTGAGTAACCAACTTCATTTTCTTGTTTATTCTTCCTGTTTCTTTATGCAAAAAGATAATTCATATATGTGTCTGTAAACATACATATGTATAAATACATATAAAAGGTAGTATCCTACCGATATTCTTTTCCATCTTGCTTTTTTTCACTTAATATATCTTGGAAAGCATTACTTATCCAGTCACAGTGATATTCGTCATTCCTTTTTTTATAATTGCACAGTACTCAACTGAATAGATATAGCATAATTTAGCCAATTTCCTATATGTAAGCATTTATTTCCATTACTATTATGGATAATATGGAAACAATAATCTTGTGTGTGTGCATCTTCAGGGTAACTTGCTGTCCATGCGACTGCTAGACCAAGCAAGAACCTCCTTATGCGTGTCTTTGTTAGCTGTCACCTGGTTCCCTGCATTCCTTGTGGGTTGCACCACTTTGCACTGCTACCCGCAGTGTCTGAGTGCCTGTTTCCTTGTGGCTGTGACAATAAAATGTGTTGTCAAGTTTTTGAAAATTTAGCAATCCATTTTTCGGGAAATGGGCTCATTTATTTTATAGGGGAAATGGGCTCATTTATTTTATAGACTGAAATAATTTAAGTAATTTATACCGAAACCTATAACTTGATAACTGGGAAAAATGACATTAGTATTTTCTTTGTCCGTTTTAGAAATCATGGTTTCTAAAAACATGTGGAAGTACAATCAGAAACAGTTTAAAAATTCTTTTAATTTCATGCCCAAGGTCATTCATCCTTATATGATGATACTACTGCCATGCTTGTTACCTCAGAGGTAAAGTGAACAGGGGGAAACTATCCTACTCATTCATACAAAGCAAAGCTAATAAATTAGCCACTTCAGTAAAAGTCTGAATAATTTACTTATGCATTATTTAAGCTAACAATAGAACATGCAAGTACCTTGAACAGTTGATAGAACTTGATATTTTGGAATAAATTCTATATTATTCTTTTACTAGGAACTATAAGGACAATTATAACCCGTACTATTGATACCAACTAGGACTTACTGTTCCAGGGCCTGGTCTAAATACCTAAAAAATGTTATTTCACCTAATTCTTACAGCAATCTTATGATGAAGGTACAATTACTACACCCATTTACCGGATGAGAAAACAGAGGTAATAATGGCCACGAAGTCAGTAAATGGTAGGACATGTATTCAAACCCAGGCAGTCTGATTCCAGAACCTGGACTCAACTATTTTATATAGAACTTCTAGTGTTTATATTATACTAGAGAGAAGAGCTAAGTACTCATACCAGTATAATAGTTATGAATAAAACTGTCTTTTTATTTTCAAGTACTTTTAAGCTGAACAAGTTCTGAGTAGGAATAAGTATTTTGAAGTTATAGCATGGGAAATAATTGGCAATCAAAGTCAAGCTATTAATCTATGATTCACAGAAGCTATACAGGTCACAAAAAAGTAAAGTGAATTCATACTTTTTTGTAGTTCATGAAATTACCTATGAGTATCCTCAATTAAACAGGGACTCTAATTATAGTTCATTGTTCCAAAGAAAGTAGCTATTAAAATGAAAATATGGAACTTACAGACTTTTGATTTTTAGTTCAATGATGGTTCACTTTATAATCTAAAATAGAAGCAATTGTTTTCGTAGTGTATTCACTATAAAATGCAAAAAAATATTTTAAAAGTCGACATAAAATTACTGAAAACAAATACAACAATTATTTTAAAATGAGAAAATACTGAGTTAAAAATTTAAAAAGGGTCTTTGGTTACTTACTTCATCTGGGAAAAGATGCAATCTCTGCATCAGAGTTCTTCTGTGAAGGTTTTTTGGCAGCATGCCATAAATAGCTAGTTTTACAATCTGAAAAACAGATACACGGAGCACTCAGTAAGAAACATGTGATGGGAATATAAACACAGTAAAAGACAGTGATGAAAAGCAGTGGGCTAAGACTCAATATGAATATGAAAGGAACAAAACTGAGACCTAAGCAGATATGTGGCAGCAATAAAAAAGACCTTTTATTATTTTGTACATTACCATCTTCTTTTAAATCTGTTTATCTGTATTTAGACAAAGAAAAAAAAAGGAAGACATCAGGAAAACCTGTGTATGTGTTGATTTTAGATGGAATAAGAAGAAATTCTCTAAGCTTATACAAGAACTTGTGGCTCAAATAATCTATTACATACAGGTTATAGCACATCCTAGGGAGGTTTAATCCCATTTCCCCAGGTGGGTGATCAGGAGACTGCCAATGAATGAACTAAGCCTGACCATACCGTCATGAGGCTGACTCTGTAAGTCACAAACCTAGAACAACGGTAACAGTGAGCATTCACTGAAAACTTAGCACGTGTGCAGGAGTCACTGCATTAGACTTGTTATCTTGTTCATGTTACTAAGTTCCATTTCACAGACGAGGAAACAAATTCAGTGAGGTTACAGAGCCCACCTTAATTTCCTGTATCTAGTAAATGGTACTGGAATTCAAACCAGGTAGGCCCACTCCCAGGACAGACACATAACACATGCAAACACACTTAACAACTCGTTCCTCTCTGCCACTTATCAAGAAGACCAAGCCCCGTCACCCCGTCACACCCGTTCCCAAGGGGGCAGACCAAGCTTTCTGTGATTTGCTCTTCTCCCTGAGAAGGTCGCGCTCACGGTTTATCTGCTGTCTAAACTCTCTCTGGCTGTGCGGGGTCTCTCATTGCACTCCAGCTCGCTCCAGCTGAGACAAGGAGGGGCTTCTCTCTGCCTGCGGTGCGTGGCTTCTCCCGGTGCAGAGCATGGGAGAAGGGCCTGCAGGCTCAGCGGTGTGGCACACGAGCTTAGCTGCCCCCCGGCACGTGGGGTCTTCCCAGCCCTGCGATCAAACCCGAGTCCCCTGCGTTGGCAGGCGGATTCGTAAACTCTAGACCACCAGGGAAGTCCAAGGTTATCCTCACTGTTGTCCTGAGTGTGGTTCTGTGTATATTTTGTCAACAGAAAGTCACACAGTCTCACCTTGTGCTCTGATTTCCCGTGGGCCTCCTGGCAAGTAGTGAGTATAGATAGCCCATATGAGCTTCATGAAACTACTGACAGACATCTGGAGAGTCAATGATTTTTTCATCTGCACTCATCTTTCAAGGATATAATTTGGTATGTATTAAACTCAACCCACAGTACATGTTACAATAGGACTGCACTGTAGAGGATTTCCTTATCCTTTTATTTTCTCATCAAATCAGACTACAAAACCTCAACATATACAAATGCTAACGCCAGCCCACATATATTTCCAATCTATTTTCTATGTTAGTGCTGTTAAGGCTTTACATTCCAGAGATTTTATATTGTTAAAATTAAAAGCAATTAGAAATTCAGTGCCTGAATTATATAAGCCGCATTTCAAGTGGTCAACTTGCCACAGGTGACTAGTGGTTACTATATTTGATAGCGCAGACAAAGAATGTTTTCATCAGAGCAGAAATTTCTGTTGGGTAGCACTGATACCAGTCTTTAAAATTTTTAATGTGTTAGAAGTCTTTAGTAGAAAGTGACAATGCTAAGACTACTTAGCATCCTGTCTGGATTAGCAAGTCATTGTATCTTCTGAACATTCTAACAGCCAGTTTATTACCTTAGCAGGGTTTCTTGGTATTTGGCTTCCATGTTAAAAAAAATTAGTTTTATTTACTTGAATTAACAAGTTGGTATTTTTAAAATACACCTTATTTAAAAAATGCAAACATAACAATCAAATTAGAGAAAGCTGGAAAGTATGAAAAGGTTACAAACTGCCAGGTGAGAGAAAAAGATGACAGACATACAAACACACCCAAAAAAATGTGACATCACCTGAACATGCAATCGAGTAATTCCAGCTATACAGACTGAAGCGTGAACTCTGAGGAACCCAGAAAATGAGAAAGACAGAATGGGCTAGGGCTAACAAACATTAAAGACCTTCCTAATCGAATCTGAACCCAGGGTATATGATACTTGTTTCACAAAAAATATCTTTATAAACTATAGGAGAGGGAATGAATATGAGAAAGGAACCATATTAGAAGAAAAATACAAGAACACAGAAACTCTTAAGGAAACTAAAATGTATGACAGACGAAGAAAGGGTACTAAGAAAGGGCTGAATCAATACATTTATTTGAGTTTAGAATTAAAGATCTGCTATGTAATTACAAAAAGATATTGGAAAGTATTTTAAAACATACTATCAAATGTATAACCAATGTACTTTATTGTTCCCGAAAAACACTGAGTGTTTGAATTGGTGGTAAAATAACTGACCTCTTAAGAAACCATTTTTTAAAAAAAAAAACACAGTCAAAATTAAGACTTAAAGCCATCATCAAATATTTCATAATGCACTTCAATCTCTGTTCATAAAAAATAGTTTGAAATAATTTCTACAAATGCTATCCGAAGCCAAATTCTTAACATCAAAAGTTGGATTGTACTGCCTCCTAGTGTATATTTAGCATACCTGAACAAACTAGAAAACAGTTTTAAAGACATTTAAAAATATAAAGTATTAAAACTATAATTTGTCGTAAAAGTTATGGCATATATTAGCAGCGGCCCTAACAACTTTTTACTAGTATCATATGCAATCCATATTAAGTCAAGATAGGATACTATATTTGATCCGTGATAATCTAAGAATTAAAACACAATTCTTGAGCATATTTTTATAAAACAGATTTGAATGATAAAGAAGTAAAAATACATAGTAAAGTATGGAACTTCTAAATGTTATGTCAGTAATAAACATAGCTCTTCCCCTACCTTTAACCAAGAAAATTTCAGACAATACTTGTACCGCAATGAGATCAAACCAGTCAATCCTAAAGGAAATCAGTCCTGAATATTCATTGGAAGGACTGACTGATGCTGAAACTGAAACTCCAATGCTTTGGCCACCTCATGCGAAGAAGTGACTCATTGGAAAAGACCCTGATGCTGGGAAAGATTGAAGGCAGGAGGAGAAGGGGACGACAGAGGATGAGGTGGTTGGATGGCATTACCAACTCAATGGACATCAGTTTGGGTAAACTCCAGGAGTAGGTGATGGACAGGGAAGCCTGGCATGCTGCAGTCTATGGGGTTGCAGAGTCGGACACGACTGAGCGACTGAACTGAACACCAAACAAATGGTTGCATTCTGACAACAGACGTTTATTTTTATTCATCATTTTAGGAAAATAAAAAGGAGTATCTTCAAAACTTAATGGTTTGCTCATTTAAATAAAAAGCTAAAACACCTTTGAATGGGGAAAACACTACCAAATCCAAGAGAACAATTCAAAGACTGGGTTATCAAGAGTTAAGGAAGAAAAAAATAAAACTGTGAAAGGGCAACAGGAGACTTTGCTTTTAAAATTAATACTGAGAATGAGCATTTGGATTTGGAACATCTTTCAGTACAGAACTCTAGTGACACATAATAAAGACTAATGAAGTCAGTAATAAGGTTTTTTAAAATATTTCTAAAGGGCGGAACTGACTAGAGGACAAAAATAGGAAGAACAAGAAAAAGCGCGTCCTGGGCTGGCATCTGCTCTGGGGTGTCGGCTCGGCAAGGGGCTTGGGAAGAGGGCTGCGAACATGAGGTCTGCAGGCAGGATCAAGATGCCCCCACACACCTGGATCCCCTGGGGCCCAGCAGAAAGGCAGTATTCAGGGTGCTGAGTGTGGAAAGGGAAACATAAGTCTTTCTTGATAGGTAACTGCTAACTATGAACTTGATCTTGTAAGGTTTTCAGGCCCCAAATTCACCCATTTTATGGGGATCAAATTCCAGAAGCTGAAAGTATAGCTTAAAGGGATCTTATGTTGGGATGTGTGTGTATGCACGTACATCCCCAGGCACCAGCCAAAAGCTAAGTACATCTTTTCCGAAGAAATTAATTTTTAACATAGGTCTCAAGAACTCTCAGAGATGAAGTTCCAAGGTACATGTACTTTCCTAGCACCCTGAGCAGAAACAATAAATTGCAGACCCACAAGGACCCATAAATATCAGTCAGATATAAATGCTAAGAATTATGTTTAATATGCTTAAAGAAATGTAAGACAGAACCAAGGTATGACAAAGAAACAGAAGACTATCAAAACTGACTTGCAAACTGAGAAAGAAACAAACAGTAAAAGCTTCCAGAAAAGGAAAAAAATACAACTGAAATAAGAATCTCAATAAAAGAGCTAATCAGATTAGACCTTGGTGAAAAGATAATCAGAGAAGAAGAACACAGATTAAGGAGATTCCTGACAATCCAGCAGAGAGACAGGGAGACATAAACTACGAGGAAGACACACCACATGAAAGAGAGGCACAGAGCTGTGCGCGATGAAACGAGGCAGCCTGCTGCGTGCAGTCAGCTTCCAAAGGGAGAGGGCGGATGGGGAACAGAGGGGACCAGTAGGAAAAGATGTAAGAGCTGACAAAGTTTCAGAAGAGAAGAAACCAATCCTCAAGCAAAATAAATAAGAAAACTAAAAAAAAAAGTTATCCTAGAATTGTGTAGATACACAAAAGTATTTTTTCAGGTAAAAATAAAGTTACAAACAGAAAAGGGGAGTTCGCCATTCAGAGACGGTTATGACGGGCATGTCAGTGAGCAGTACTTCCAGGGGGCACCGCTCTGAGTTAGAAGACTGCACGCAAAGAAGATCGTGAAAAAACCAGTAACAGTATTAAAAACTGGGAACAAGAATGTCCAACTGGAAGGGTTTTGAACAATCTTGAACAGAGAAAACATACAGACTGAGAGGGAGAAGGGGTATTAGAAATCTTCTAGAGGCCTTGACTTCACTTTGAGGAAAGGGAAACTACTGATTAATCCTATTTAGACTTCTCACAAATGAACTCAATCAATCCAAAAGAAAGCAAGAAGGGGAGGAGAAAGAAAATAATACCTAGGTCAGGGTGTGGACACAGCGGGGGAAGCAGAGAGGGGCGGACGGAGGAAGGAGCGCCAACATACACCCCGCTGCTCCGGGGCCAAGTCAGGTTCGACTCTGTGACCCCACGAACGGCAGCCCGCCAGGCTCCCCTGTCCATGGGATTTCTCAGGCAAGAGTACTGGAGCGGGTGGCCATTTCCTTCTCCAGGGGCTCTTCCCCCCCCAGGGGCCAAACCTGCGTCTCCTGCACTGGCAGGTGTGTGTGAGACAGGCAGCTGGCGGGAAGCTGCTGTCACACGGGGAGCCTGGCTCAGGGCTCCGCGATGCCCAAGGGGGCAGGGTGCGGGCAGGAGGGGGGCTCAAGGAGAAACACATACAGTTATGACTGACTCACGATGACGTGTGGCAGAAGCCAACACAGTATTGTAAAGCAACTCTCCTCCACTTAAAAAAATAAAATCTAGCTCAGTTTAAAGATAAGCTGCAAAATGGTATATGAGGCGTCAAAATTTAAAAAAAGGTTGATTTGGCGATATCAATATATAAAAAGAATACACAAGTTAAAAAGCACTATTGGAAATAAATTCAGTACACACCCGGTCAATTCTTCAGGAAGATTACAATTCCAAACTTAAATTTATTTAACCCTAAATCTTCAAAACATACAAGGGAAAAAACTGACAGAACTACAAGGAAAAATTAATAAATCCATAATTGAGATTTTAACATAACTCTTTAAGATAATCAATAAAGTGAATAACAAAAATAGTGAGAGTATAAGACTGGAACAACAAACTTAGCATGTTTGATATAATTAGAATATAAACATATATACATACATACATCTGTCTCCCCAAAACATTTTCAGCAATCATATATTCTAGGTGATCATGCAGATGTCAAGAAATTAAAAAGAAAAGCATCAAACTTCTATAACTAAATGCAAAGTATATTAAATAGTAATTAGAAAAGATACAGAATGATGATGAAATATCATTGATACCTATCAAAACTTGTATGATGTAATTATAGTGAAGAACTCACAACCCTGAATGCTAGCTATGTTAGAAGAGAAGGAAGACTGAAACCCAGTCTCTCCACAAGTGATAAATAGTGATAAAAAATACAACACACTCACCGCGACTGGATCCTTCCGGTGAAGCTGAGCAGCTGTTACTTGTTTAAACCCACCTGGGTAGCTATTTTTAAAAGAAACAGAGACATTAAAACTGGGAGTAGGCGATGGGACAGTATCTTTGAAATGAACATTCTCTTATAATAGGAAAACTTTTTTTATTATGAAATTACATTTGTTTCTCCCGGAGGAGGAAATGGAAACCCACTCCAGTATTCTTTCCTGGAGGATCCCATGGACAGAGGAGCCTGGTGAGCTACAGTCCACGGGGTCACAGAGTCAGACACAACTGAGCAACTAACACACATACTTGCTTCTGGAAACTATGCTACTCATCATGTCTTAAAAATTAAGCAGTAACTATGCTATATGAAATGCTATTAAGTGGTCACATTTAGCAATCATTATTTTATAAATCCAGTCAATCCTAAAGGAAATCAGTCCTGAATATTCATTGGAAGGATTGATGCTGAAGCTGAAACTCCAATACTTTGGCCAACTGATGCGAAGAAATGACTCACTGGAAAAGACCCTGATGCTGGGAAAGATTAAATGTGGGAGGAGAAGGAGACCACAGAGGATGAGGTGGTTGGATGGCATCACTGACTCAATGGACATGAGTTTGAGCAACTCTGGGAGTTGGTGATGGACAGGGAAGCCTGGCATGCTGCAGCCATTGGACTGCACAGAGTCAGACACAACTGAGCGACTGAACTGAATTTCATAAGAAGTTCCACATATAAGAAACTTCTTGGCTAACCATTTTTCAAATTAACTAATTATTTATTGGCTGTGCTAGGTCTTCACTGGGCTTCCCTGGTGGCTCAGCGTAATGCAGGAGACCCAGCTTCGACCCCTGGGTTGGGAAGATGCCCTGGAGAAGGGAAGGCTGCCCACTGTCCTCACTGCTCTATGTGGGCGTTGTCCAGCTGCGGCAAACGGCGACTACGCGCCGCTCTGGCACGTGGGCTCCTCAGGGCACTGGCTTCTCTTGCTGCGGAGCGCTGGCTCCAGGTGTGTGGGCTTCAGTGCCGCAGCAGGCTCCACAGTGCGGGCTCAGCAGCTGATCCCAGGCGTGTGGAATTTCCCCAGATCAAGGATGAAGCCTGTGTCCCTTGCACTGGCAGGCGGATTCTTATCCACTGCATCACCACGGAAGTCCCTGGCTAACTACACTTCTATTGGAATTTAAGTTCATTGATCATTCATTCAAACATTCACAGTTGCTTATTTCTGCTTGAATGAAAGAAAAACAAAACAAACTGCCAAAATGTGTTTCACATTCCCTGAAAAAATTAGGCAGTGAGTAAGCTAGGGGTCAGGTCTGGGGAAAACAGTGGTAGACTACTCGGTTCTGAAGGCACGTTAATACTCTAAACAGGTCGTGCTCCTATTTCCTATTACCAGAAAGTCATATGCTGCTTCTAAGTAACAAAATATTTCACTGTGTTCAGATCAAAATCATAAATAAAATGGAGATTAAAAAAAATATTTGGGATAGTTATTGATCTTAGTAACCCGAATACCCCACACCCAGGTCTGGAATCAAGATTTTGCCAGCAGCAACCAGTATAATATGAGGAAACTCATTTCATCTCTTTATTTATGGGTTTGCTCACATAAGAAAAATGCTAGTATCTGCCCCATCTACCTCTCAAGATTTTATGAGAGTCGAGTAAGAAAGTGTTTGTGACAGTGCTTAAGAAATTTAAAACAAAAGCAACATACAGATGTAAGACTTTATTATTACACTGAATGGATGAATAAAAGCCTAGATGATTTTCAAGGAAGGGAAAAAGAAAATGTAAAGACAGTGGACTCTGCAAAGGAAATTTAAAATTATCTAAATATGATTCCTTTTACAGGTTTCTTTCAACACTTAAAAACATTTTGAAGAGGATTTAGAGAACCATGTTTTAGGAATAAAATTTAAGAAAGCAAATTTAGAAGTACGCTGAGAAAAATGGATAATTTTCCAAATGATACTCTTTCATTTGTTTCATGGAGCTTCACCCTCAGAACAAGAAATAATTGTCCTCTATTCTTCCTCTCTGGGAAGAAAATACTTTTTGCTTTTATCACATGGTTATCTTGCATTTTCATATTTCTTTCCCAATTGCCTCTAAATTTTATAAAACTTGTTTTACATATATTTTACTTTGCCAAAAGTAAAAATGACTAAAAATGAATGTGAATTAATTTTTGTTCAATAAAGATTTCATGAAAGCGTGTAAGTATAGGAAAGGACAAAGGCCACTAACAAGCAGTGATTCTCCAGGATCTCAGAACGTCACAGCCTCGGACGCGCAGACGGCACCGCCCTCACGCAGAGTGAGGGGGAGCTAAGAGCCTCCTGATCAAAGTGGAGGAGGACAGCGAGACAGCTGGCTTAAAGCTCAACATTCAGAAAACTGAGATCACGGCATCCGCTCCCATCACTTCAGGGCAAATAGATGGGGAAACAGTGGAAACAGTGGCTGACTTTAATTTTTTGGGCTCCAAAATCACTGCAGATGGTGACTGTAGCCATGAAATTAAAAGACGCTTACTCCTTGGAAGGAAAGTTATGACCAACCTAGACAGCATATTAAAAAGCAGAGACATTACTTTGCCAACAAAGGTCCGTCTGGTCAAGGCTATGGTTTTTCCAGTGGTCACCTATTGATGTGAGAGACGGACTCTAAAGAAAGCTGAGTACAGAAGAATTGATGCTTTGGAACTGTGGTGTTGGAGAAGACTCTCGAGAGTCCCTTGGACTGCAAGGAGATCCAACCAGTCCATCCTAAAGGAGATCAGTCCTGGGTGTTCATTGGAAGGACTGATGCTAAAGCTGAAACTTTGGCCACCTCATGCAGAGAGCTAACTCAATGGAAAAGACCCTGATGCTGGGAGGGAATGGGGGCAGAAGAAGGGGACGACAGATGATGAGATGGCTGGATGGCACCACCGACTCAATGGACATGAGTTTGAGTAAGTTCCGGGAGTCGGTGATGGACAGGGAGGCCTGGCATGCTGCGATTCATGGGGTCAGAGTCGGACACGACTGAGCGACTGAACTGAACTGAAGACCTACTTGGTCAAAAGACGAAAAGAAACAGATGGGAACCTCAAAGCTGACTTGTCTAAGATGAAGGTGCACTTGGAAATAAAAATAATTTTGATCAAGAATGATAGGTCAATATTTCTAACTGTATCTTGCATGATATTGAAGAAATTATGCTTAATAAAATTTGTACATGACCTGAAACTGAGGGCTTAACTAACACATTACCTGAAATAATCCAGATCTCAAAAGATCTTCAAAGGCTGGAGATAAAATTTAATATGGAGTAAACTTAGGGTACTACAGCTAGATTAAAATGCAACTGAAACACACAGGCAGGAGGATACAAGGCTGAAAAAGACCTCACGTGTTTTAGCTGAGAGTAACCTCAGTGTAGCACACAGTGATACAGCCCTGAAGAAGCACTCGACTGCGACAGAAGACGGAATAACTGGAAGATGGAGGAGTCACATTACACCAGAAAACCATCAGGACACAGCCAGGGGAGTGTTACTTAGTTAAGATGTTGACAAGTAATGACAGCACCCAGAGAACAGTGAGCAGGATATAACGGACATATTTGAAGGGAGTCACATAAAGAACTTCACACGAACTACAGGTGTTTAGTCTAGAGGAAAGACAGATCAGTGAGGACGTGCTGATCACGGTCTCACAATTACTTGAAGGAGGTCATGTGGAAGATACAATTTTACACCGTCCAAAAGAGGAGGACAGAGAACGAGATGGCTGGATGGCATCACCAACTCAGTGGGCTTGAGTTTGAGCAAGCTCCGGGAGACAGTGAAGGATGGGGAGGCCTGGCGTGCTGCAGTCCATGGGGTTGCAAAGAGCTGGACACGACTGAGCGACTGACAGCAGCAACAAAGGCTGTTAGGAAAGCTGAAGAAAGACAGATGATGACTTAACAGCACTGAGATCTTTCCAAAACTTAGACCACGTCAAAGGCAGAATGAATGGGCTGCCTCAGGAGCTAGGAGACTGCTACTGTTCAAAGACAGGCAGACCTGTAATCTGACAGGGATGCTGTGGGAAGGTATAAAGGTGTCTTTCCAACTGGGGATTCTCCTCACCGTTCTTTCAACCTCTCATGCACTTTTAGACGTTCAAGACACTTCCAGAAACAGCAGTAAGAGGAATCAGAGGAAGCAGAAAGAAATGAGAAGACTGACTAAAGAATGAGAGAAATCTAGATCAGCGAGGTTACCATGACAAATACTCTCAGGAAAAACCAATAGCCTCGGGCAATTACAAGGATCCGGTACAGTTTTGTGGTTTTCTAATTGAGTAAATCACACATGCATCACGAACAAAATCAGTGCTTCCTTAAGTTTCTTTTTCTTTCAATATTATTTATTTTTATTTTTTGGTTGTGCCACGCGAGATCTTAGTTCCCCAACTGCATATTGAACCTGTGCCCCTGCAGTGGAAGCGCAGTCTTAACCACTGGACCACCAGGGAAGCTCCTTAAATTTCTTTGAAATATAATCAATAATATTAAAGTAACACATTTCCACTGCCTACCTTCCCTGACAAAAGCATTATCTTACCCAGTATGTGAGGAGTATACTTTTTGCTCCCATTTGTTTCCAGAAAATGCAATGTGCCTTGTGTTCATGATGACAACATGATCCCCACAGTCACCTGGGTTTAAAAGAAAGAAAGGAAAAAAGGATTTTGGTTGAAAAATCCTGACTTTAAGAAAAAGTGTGCTTGGTTATTTACAAAGCTTTCCAGAGTCCAAAGAACACATCAGTGAATATAAAGCATGTCAGTGCAACATCAAAATCCTTGAACAGACTGATGTTTTTCTTTTATATAACATCTAAGTATAGAGGAGTTGGCTAGACATTCGGAAACTCTCAACACTGGAAAGTAAAAGAGAATTCGGGAAAGAAGCCAATAACAATAGGCCTTTGAAAGGCAAACTACTGTTACTCTTATTGTCTTTGACCGTTAATGATTACACTTCGTTAAAATGTAATAATTACACTTTAATAACAATTACACTTCACCACTTTTAACTATCTAATAAAATTTCCCCTTAAAAATAAAAGAGAAAATGAAAACAATATGCATAAAGATGAAAAAAGGTAGGTTTTACCAATAGGTAAATTGGAAACAAATGTAAAACATCACAATTGTTACTCACTTCAAATCCAGAGAACAGAGTATCATGCTCTCATGCTTAACTACTAACCCAAGGTTTTTCCAGTCACATTTAACTAGTTAAATATCTTTCAAACTGGAAAAAAAAAAATAAAGTTTGGTAAACAGCTTTCAGAAATAGGAATTGAGTTTATTTACAAAAATTTATCACCTTAGATTTCTAACCTTATTTGATTTCTTTTTATAATAATGGGCTAAGTTAAGTGGCCAAATAAAATTCGAACTAATTCAATCAAGGGGAAAACTCAGAGATTTCTGTCAGGAAATCTAAGGTCTCATCATGGACCCAGTCTTGTCCCTCCTTCATGACGTAGAGCAGGGCTTTTATGTGCTCATTTTCTTACAGGATCTGATTTGAGAAATGTCTGAAAACCAGTCGTTCCAATTTAGCGATAAATAACAGAAGTTTGGCTTTGGCATTTATGCTTGTTTCCAGCCTTGATGCACAAACATCCAAATGCCTACTTCAACTTTTTTTTCTTCTTTTAGTATCCCAGAAATTCTGCATGGCTAATGTGACAGATGATCATGGAAGTTACCACAAAATCCACTGAGTATAAAGACATTGTGATAGGAACAAGGGGTGTTGTCCCAGTTTATTGCTTGTACGTAAATATTCACTTCTAAAAAAGGTAAGTATTCTAGATATAACCGTGAGCAAATACCTTCAGTGCTCTGTATGACGATGTTCTAGGAGTGAGCTGAAGAACAAATGTGTGATTAACACTGTGAAATTTAAATGACATTGTTAACACTTGAAATAGACTGACTCAACTGAATAGTAAGAAAAATACTTTAGCTGGGTAACTTTAAGAAGAGCATTTTAAACTTTTTTCCCCTAACAAATTCTTAGAAGATTTAAATAAATAATGCAAAACAGAATACTAGAGACAGATTAGTTGAACTGTTTGAATTGTGTTTGAATTGCTAACATTCACAATATAACTTTTAAGAACTGTGTGAAACTTTTATTTGATTTCATTCCACATGCACCAGAAATATTTTAAGATGATCTGATAACTTCAGATAATGCTGAACAAAGGTTTCCCTCTGCTTCTTTTAAATGCTCATATAGTCTTCCTCAACTGATTAACTTGTGGACAATGAAAAGAAAGGCGTTCTCATGAAGAGTAAGTCATAATCCAGAAATCACCAAGGGCCCTTCCTTTTCATTCATCATTGAGAAATAAACATGTTGGGAAAGCTCCCGCGTCCCCAGCTTAGGAGGGGAGCTCTAATTAGAAGGCAGTGCGTGTAAAGTGGTTCAAAGATTGTATACTCACATATCTGAACATACAGAGGCCCACTGGGCTTGGTGAGATGCTGTGGCAAGCCAACTTTCCATTTATATGGTTATTTTTTTTCTTGTGCAACTGTGGTTTGGGCCAAGATGGAAATGCCATGGAATTAGAAGAACGTGCTCCTTCCACAAAACTTGGGAGAAGATGGAATCAGCAGTAGCCATATAATTCTTTTTCAAATACAGCACTATCCATCCACTGATTTAAAGCTCTGCTTCCTTACATGTAAGCCATCACCGCAAAGGCACTCCTCACGTACTGCAGAATAAACATCCTGCCAGAATAGACGAGACTTTCTGGCAGGCCGTCCTTTCCTAGGAATGGAGGATAGCTTTTCCAGGAAATTAGAAATTTACTTTTTAAAGACTAAATTGTATTTTTGTTTCACTGTAATTAATATTTGACTTTTATCGACAGAAGTTTGGACTTTTCATGTCCCTAAGATGTCACTAAAATCAGAACTTACACTGCAAAGAAAAAACAAAACACTTAAATTGCAAGCAGTTTTCAACTTACAAATATGTTGTTTTAAGTGTTTTTCTAACATTTATTGGTTTAACTAGCATTTATTATGTATGTTTTATGTGCTTATAAACATTATAAACATGTTTGCTTAAAAACTGACATACAGTTTCCCAGAAAAACAATATTACAAATGATGGCCATATGTACAGGAAGGGCTATAAAAGTTAGTATTTATGTGTGATGACGACATTTAGGTTACATTGGAGGATATCTTTATTCTTAGGAGACATACACTGAAGTATTTAGGGGGAGATATACTGATTATCAGTCATTTACTTTCAAATGATTGAGTAAAAACAACATGGTAAAATACTGTGTAACCTAGGTGGATATAGAGAAACTCACTGTACTATTTTGACCTTTTCTGAAATTGTGAAACTTTTTATACAACAAGTTAGAAAAAAAGTAAAAGACTAACAAACCAGTGGAAAAAAGGGAAGAAATGCAGACATTTCACAGAATGGGAAATGACAAAAAGGCCAATATATAAATGAAAAGATACTGAACTCCATGTGCAATTAGGAAAATGCAAATTAAAACCACAGAGCACTTCCCAGCTACCAAAGTAGAATGTTACTCAGATGAGGAATAATGAAAACATCTGCATATAAAGACTGACTAGGTTCCTGTGTATCTCTGAACCCAGTAATTCCTGTTCTAGAGACAGACCTCAGAGAAACTCTTCCACATGTGTCCTGGAAAAATGGTACAGGAATACTGCTAGCAATGTTGTGTGTAAGAAACAAAAAAGGAGGTAAACCACCCAAGTGCTGAGTGAATGGATATTTATTTCATCATTACTATTATTAATTTTCTTAAAAATATTATATTTATGTACGGATAGATGAATACATCCCTATCCATCTATACATATCTTTGTATATTTCATATTTCAAAACAAAGTTAAAACTCTGACCAGTTGCAAAAAGCATTGTTGACAGGCCAAGCAAGATGAAGGGTAAGAACTGACACTCGGGCCTTGCAGGGTGGACAGGGAGTGCCTAGGAAGGTGAAGTCAATCAAAACTTCCTGGGCTAAGTGGAAGGCTTTCAGTACAAAAGCAACTGAAAAAGGATATGGAAAAGGATATGTTTTGAAAAAAGGATATGGAAAAGCAAATCTATTAACTAAAAATAGTGAAAAATAACTTTCCATACCTAGCTAGCTCTATGTATCTCTCTGAAGGAAAGAGTCTTTCCAAGAGAGGGCAAGCTTATCTGTGTATTTTCAGAAGCTCTCTATTGAAACGCACGTTGCCACGTGAAGAGACATGCCAAGGACTGAGCGTTCCAAGTCCAAGTCAGGACGTTTCTGAGAGTGAAAGGAAGAGCTACTGATAATTTTGCTGGGACAATGGCATAAAATGGGGATGTTTCAGATGAAGTGGTCTATGTAGTTTTGCTATGAAGAAGCAAAATTCATTTTAGTGCCCCAACAGGAGTTCGGCAAAGATGGAATAAGGGATCTTCAAGGGAAAAAAAAAAACAGATCCTTGCAGCAGTTCAGTCAACATCTTCAAAATTCTATCCTCACATGAAAACTGCATTTACCGACAGGTCTAAAATGATACTCACTCAGTTGATGGTACACAGGCTTATGCAATCCTTGAAGTCTAACCGATGCCAGGGCAGCAAGCTTGCCAGGGGGCTGCATTTTCCCATCTAAGAGATACCAAACTCGGGCAAAAGTGGCCCATTGCTTAAGAGACAGAAGAGGAAACAAGGAAAATTCTCATTAAACGGGAACACCTGAGTTTGTTACTATATACCATTGCACACAATCCACAGTTAACGTCAATAATTACTATGAAAAAGATCCCATCGTTAGATAACTTTTTTCATTTTCTATTTCTGGAAAAGGGGATCTTTCCTCATTATTCTGTAGAGATTAATGCAGTTATTCCTCCTGCCTGCTTTTCTATTAGCAGTATGGATTATGCTTTATTAAAAACATTCCAAAGATATTATTTCCTTTTACATTTTGTATTTTTCATACCATGTACAATAGGCTGGAGGGATATTGAGAAGCTCTTAATGAAAGCAGAAGTTGTTTCTGAAAGTCTTCAAAAATACCTGGAGATCAGAAGATGCGTTACACTGACAGAGAGTGGCCAGTTAGAAACTGATGACTATTCAGGAGTTTAACCCGAGTGAAGGAAAGTTTGAGAAAGTGTTCATCGCTGTTGTGTCTGACATTTTTTCCAACATTGTTTGGCAGCTTGTGTATATCCATAGACAAAGGATCTGATCAAGATCTTTCTGGCCTGAAATTTTCTTAAAGTTTGAAGGCAGTGTTAGACACTGCAGAAACACTGCGGCAGCCTTAGATGTCTGTCTAAGGCAGTTTTTTGAAAATTAAGTTTATTCAGTATCATCTATCTCTACTTTTGGCAGCTTAATTTCTGCTAGTTCCCTGGTGGCTCAAATAGTAAAGAATGGGCCTGCAATTCAGGAGACCTGGCTTCAGTCCCTGGGTCAGATTCTCTGGAGTAGGGAATGGCTACCCACTCCAGTATTCTTGCCTGGAGAATCCCATGGACAGAGGAGCCTGGTAGGCTATAGCCCATGGGGTCGCAAAGAGTCAGACACTTGATACAACTAGGCTGGCTGGTTTTATCTTAAATTTAACCATCACAAACCTCAAATCAGTAAAACTGCTTACCCATCTGTGTTTTTCCTGTTCTCATTTTTCTAGTCTCCATCCCATTCCCCTTGTATATATTGTCAGGTTTATCTCTATTTCATATTTTGATGCCCCTGTAAAGGGTATTGCATTTTTAATTTAAATTTCTGATTGTTGCTAGTATATAGAAATACACTTCCTTTTTATATTTTGGTCTTATATACTGCAACCTTGCATTTATAAGTTTCAGTAACTTTTTGTAAATTCCCTTTTTTACACAGATGACCCTTTTCTTTGCAAATAAGGAGAGCTTCTAGCCCACATACTTTCCATCTCTCTTAGCATATGAACTAAAAAAAAAAAAAATTCAATTGTCTGCAGGACAACCTTGTTTCTTCAATAAATTGCAAAGAAAAAAGATAGGATAGGAACCTATTATTAAGAGACTTAAAAAAAAACCAACTCGGCAACTTACCATACTTTGGATCCTATTCCAAAGAAAAAAACCATAAAAATATTCTGTATTAATATTTATATGAGAAAATTGGAAATGTGAACATATACTGAATAATTGATATTAAGGAATCACTATGAAATTTTCATTTAGCTTTGATAAATGGTAATGGGATTTTTAAAAAAATCTTTATCTTATAAAGCACGTATTGAAAACATTTACTGATGAAATAAGAAGTGAATGAGGTACAGATTAAATGATACTGACTGTGAGCCCTCCGAAACTGGGTGATAATCTACTTTAATAGCTGATTGTGATTATCCATAACAAAGTTAAGAAAACAAAAAAAGCTGCTCCTGACCTCCATTCTTTACCAGTGACTGCCTCATTTCTTTCCTCTTTTCTGCAGTAAACTCTTGCAAAGAGTTGTCTTTACTCCAAATTTATCTCTCTTCATTCTTTCTTCAGGGCTTCCCTGGTGGCTCAGCAGTAAAGAATCCACCTTCCAATGCAGGAGATAACTGACCCAGGGTTCAATCCCTGGGTCAGGAAGATCCCCTGGTGAAGGAAATGGCAATCCACTCCAGTACTCTTGCCTGGAAAATCCCATGGACAGAGGAGCCTGGCGGGCTGCAGTCTATGGAGCCGCAAAGGAGTCGACACAACTTAGGGAGTAACAACAACTGAAACAATGGTTTCTTCAACCTACTCCACCTGGGCTTTTGTCTTCCCATATCCACCAGCAGCACACTATTGCCAAAGTTACCATGACCTCCACATTACGAAACCCCTTGGTCAATTCTTTGATACAGTTGATCATTCCCCTCTCCTGGGTGTTGAATGCCACTGTCTATCCCCATCCATCCATCATGCAGATTCTTTCTCTTGCTTCTGAAAGGCTGGGATGTTCCACAACAGTTCTTGGTCCTCCTCCCTTTTCTTTTCTTACTTCCTCAAAGACTTCATCCAGGCCATTTGTATGCTTATGATTACCTAATTTACATCTCCAGCTTGGACCTCTTTTCCTAACTCTGGAACTCTTTGAGATCCTATGGACTGCATCTTGCCAGGCTTCTCTGGCCATGGGATTCTCCAGGCAAGTATACTGGAGTGGGTTGCCATTTCCAGGGGATCTTCCCCACCCAGGGATCAAACCCATGATCCCTGCATCTCCTGCATCAGCATGCTGATTCTTTTACCACTGAGCCACCTGGGAAGCCCTCTGAACTATACACTTGTATTCAACTGCCCACCTGGAATATACACTACAGTGTTTTTAAAAATTATATGTAGCAGAAGACCAGTTTTTCCCCAATCCATTGCAGACCAATACTCAGATAGGAAAAAAAAAAAAACCTTGATAAGGCAATTAAAATGCTGCCACAATGTCCAACGGCTACAATTCTTTTTAATGGTTAATTTTAATTCCTGTATCTCCTTCATCAGGGGCAGGTAACAAAGAGTTCAAGGACGGAATCTCACCTGGGGCAGGGCTAGACCAAGAGGCATCTTACAGCAACACATCCAAGACCGAACGCTGCTCTTCCTCTGAAACCTGCTTCAGTCCCAGCCTTCCCTATCTCAGTCGATTGTTGAAACAAAAAAACCTTGGATTGGTCCTTGGTTTTTTTTCTGTTGCTGTTGGTCACACTTAGTCCTTCTGGAAATCTTACTGGTTCCACTTTCACACGGAACATGACCACTTTCCAACACTACACAGCAACTAGGCCTGGTCCGCACCACAGGCTTGTCTAGCCTGGGTTATTGCGGTAGCCTCTAAATAGATCCTTTGCTTTTGTCCACCAATTCCCATTTCTAAACAATTCGTTCTTAACTCAGCAGTCGGGTACTCCTTTTAACACTTAGGCCAGATGAGGTTACTACTTGGTTCAAAACCCCTCCGAAGTGAAAGTCGCTCAGTCGTGTCTGACTCTCTGTGACCCCATGGGATTCTCCAGGCCGCAACACTTCCCAGGGGATCTTCCCAACCCAGGGATCAAACCCAGGTCTCCCGCATTGCAAGCGGATTCTTTACCATCCGAGCCTCCAGGGAAGCCTATATACCTGTGCTCAATACCTCAGTCGTGTCTGTCTCTTTGCAGCCCCATGGACTATAGCTCTCTAAGCTCCTCTGTCCACGGGAACTCTCCAGGCAAGAAGACTGGAGTGGGTTGCCATTTCCTCCTCCAGGGGATCTTCCCAACCCAGGGATCGAACCCGCGTCTCCCGCATTGGCAGGCGGGTTCTTTTACCAGCTGAGCCACCAGGGAAGCCCAAACCTCAAACCACCCCCCACCCCCGTCCCCGCAAGGCGGCCCTGATTTTGCTCAAACTGTCTACAGTGCCCTGTGAGATCCATCTTATTGGCTCCCTGACTGTCCCCCTAGCACCGCTCCCGGGTGACGGGAGACCAGAGAAGGGCTGAATAAAAACACCGAAGTAGGGGCACCGAGAGCACTACACGAAGTGGTGGTCAGCTGCGACCCTCGTCTGTGCTTTATCGAGGCATCTCCGGGCCTAGGGGCCTGGCTCCCCATCCGCCTCGGCGGCGCCAACTCCGGCCGCCTCCCGCCAGAGTGAGGAAGCCCGCCACACCGGGAGCTCCGCCTCACCTGCGGCGCTCTAGACAGACCCGCCATGCTCCCGAGGGGCGTCTCCGCGCTTCCGCCAGGACCCGGGGCCGCCTCGCATCACGGCCCGGGGGGAAACGCGCGGAGCTGCGGGTGGCGGTTCCTAGGCCAGCAAGACTTCGTCTGCTTCTCCGCGTTGCCCACGCCTCTTCCAGTCTTCCCACCACAACCATTCCATCAGGAAGAGAGAACACGATGCGGTTATTGAGAGAATAATCCCCCAAAGTCACTCGCCTGCTGGAAAGGGTGCGGAAACCGATGGGGGATGGGCTGTTTCCCGCCGAGCTGAAGAGGGCGCCGGAAGTGCTTCAGGCGCGCGGGCGGTTTGGACGGAGGCGGCCGCGCGCGCTGGGAGATGGATCGGTACCTGCTCCTCGCGGTCTGGGGCGAGGGAAAGGCCGCGGCGGCGGGCCCGGGACTTGGGCCCGAGGCTTTGCGAGTCGAGGGCCCCGGAAAGCCGTCGGGTAGGTGCGGAGCGGAGAAAGCGCGGGAGCGGCTCGAGGGGCGGAGCGGACTCCTGGGAGCAGGTTCTTCTGGGGAGGGCTGGGCGGAGGGACCGCGGGGAGCCGCGACTCCCTCGGGTCGCCGGTCAGGGCTGAGGAGATCCGCCCGCACGCGGAACATCGGCTGGTCAGGGCTGAGGAAGATGCTACCCGCACGGAGAACGGGGCTAAGGTTCTGGGTGCGACGTGCCCGCGCTCAGAACTTGCAGACACACTTAAAAAGTTCTCGGGGCCTTGGGAATGGAATTTCTGCCCTTGAGACGTATATGCTTTCATTAGGTAGCTCCTTTGTTCCAAGTGCGAGTCAGACGGAAAGCAACTCGGTGGAAAGGGCTGTTACTCTCCTGGAGTTCACATCCTAACAGGAGGAGGCTTTCCGCACGTGCAATACGTTAAAAAAACAAGCGACAGATGTAAGACGATTCTGACCGTTTGAGATTGCACTCTTTTTGATGCTCCTGGCTGGAATCTGTTGCATTTTATTTAGTTTTGATGGAGAGGTGTTTTGAGGAGGAAGTATATGTGGCTGTGTACAGAGTATTGTAACAGGATTTCCCGTCTCGGTTTAAAAATTATTTGGGGGAGGGGGATTTTGGATTTGTGTTAACTGGCAAGCATGTGCAAACCGGGAACTTCACCTATTTTCTTTGCTTGCTTTAGATTTATTATGTTAAAATTTGAGCAGAGTGTAGATCTTCTATGTATATAGTATGTTGTTCTGGAGAGGCTCTAATGGTGAAACTGGAATTGGTCTACGTTGTGTAGTTCTTGAGCCCAGCTGAGTGAGTTTGATTTTTCTTTCTCAGATTTAAGAGCAGCAAATGTATATCGTCTCCTGAAAAGAAGCATTAGTGCTTCAATTAGTCCAGAAGATAGTACTTTCCCTGGTAAGTACAACATAAACCCTTCTTTTCACTGGCGTAGCATTTGTATTGGAAATAAATTTAATTAATTTGGTCACATAAGAGTCCAAAAAACATTTGGTTGTTTTTCTTTGTTTGCTTTTGGGGGGGGATATTAATAATGTCATTTAATATTTTAGCTAAACATATTTGCAGGAAAATATTAGTGCAAAGCTATAATGCATTACAAATTAACACAGAATATATAAATATTTCTGTAACAGAAATTTTGTATAACACAATTTCTGTTACATAAAAATTTAATGTAACACAGAAATATAAATATTAGACTCAATAATTTAAAACTCCAGTCTCTTGTGGCACACTCCTTTACTTATTGTTGCAAGAGTAAAAAAAATATATCTATACACATTGTTTGCCCATTACTATATCATATTCTTTATCTTTAAACTTAACAAGAGGCACTTGTTGACTGGGTGCCAGTCCCTGGGATCGGGAGCTAGCAAAAGAAACAAGAAAAACAAAAGGGGAAAATTGCTTTCCTTCATTTACTGATGCTCGATGTCATAAAGTTGTTATGAAAATTGTTTTATATTCTCATCTTGAGCTTTGTTCCCTTTATGAGATTTGCTTGCCATCTTTAGCTTCGTGTAAAATAGAGTAACATGGCTTTATAAGGAGGATGTATGATTGTGTTCTGAGTACAAATACATTTTTAATGTTCTTACAGCCATTTCCTTAACTGTTTTTTTTTTCATTCTTACCTCTTACCAATTCTCTTAAAAGCAATTCATTTGTGGGAGAAGGCGAGGGTGGGATGTTTCGAGAGAACAGCATTGAAACATGTATATTATCTAGGGTGAAACAGATCACCAGCCCAGGCTGGATGCATGAGACAAGTGCTCGGGGCCTGGTGCACCGGGAAGACCCAGAGGAATCGGGTGGAGAGGGAGGTGGGAGGGGGGATCGGGATGGGGAATACATGTAAATCCATGGCTGATTCATGTCAATGTATGACAAAGACCACTACAATATTGTAAAGTAATTAGCCTCCAACTAATAAAAACATATGGGAAAAAAAAAAAGCACTTCATAATTGTCATCTTTTCTCCATTTTTATCTGCTTGAAGTTCTTCAAAGTCTTTGACTTTTTTGATCACCCTTTACTTTGGAAACATTTTTTCTTCTTTGGTTCCTATTGGCATTATACAGATCCATTTATTACTTCTTTGATAGTCACCCTCTTTTTTTCCTTCCCTGTCTTGGCCTCTGTCTGAGAGTGGAGATGCCAGGACAGGTCTGAAAGCTGAAGGAAGTTCCTGGAGACACCAAGGAGAGTGTGCTTGTTCTGATGACTGAACACTCTGTTCCTTTCTGTTTTCTTTCATCAGATAACCTGTCTCTTGAGTTTCAACTGTCATCTTTGGGAAATTATTTCTAATATCTATGTGCTTCCCTATCCTCTTTGCCAAATCCTGGTAGTACTCATTAATTTTGCAAGTTGGTATAGTTTAAGTCAGTACTACTATTATTACAACAGGATTTTGATGGAAAGTGACATGGTCAGTGAAGGACGTGTGATGAGTTGCCTGAAACATTGCCAAGTAAAAATATTTTGTTAAAGGTGGATACACGGGACTTCCTTGGTGGTCCAGTGGTTTAGACCTTGCCTTCCAGTGCAAGGGGTGTGGGTTCAGTCCCTGGTCAGGAACTAAGATCAAAAAACCAAGACATAAAACAGATGCAGTATTGTAATTTTAAGTTCAATAAAGACTTAAAAAAAAAAAAAGTTGGATACATGTGTCTGGAACTCCAAAGGAGAATGCAGCTGGAGAAAGGTTATGGAATCATCAACATATAGATGTCAGTTCGAGCCATGAGGAGCGATGGGGTTGCTTTGGAGAGTGAGAAGAGCAGAAAATCCTGAATTCGTTTTTGAAAGGATCTGAGCACCAGTTTTTAAGGAAAGATAGGTTTTCCACAGAAAGCAAGTGTTTTCAGGAGAAAGTAGTCAAATGGGTCATTTTTTATTCCTTTCTTGGTCTTAATGTTGAGAAGTCAAGTACCAATAGGACTAAAAACTTATATTTAGAAACATGTCACTCATTGGGTGACTTTGGTGGTTGTAGTTTCAGTGGCATGTCGGAGACAAAAGAACAGATTACATTGGATTTGAAGGGGAATAGAAAAGGTACATAGGAAATAGAGATGGTCAAGTGTAGACAGTGCTTTCAGAAAGTTTATCTTCCTGAAAAGAAAAAGATGCAGTGGTTAACTAAAAAGGGAGATGAATTTAAAGGTGATTTAAAAAAATAATTTGAGAAATACTTGTACACATTTAGATGTTAACGGGAAGGAAATGGTAGAGAAGGAGAGGTCAAAGATGCAGGGAAGTCAGCGGCCTGGTGTCCCAGTGGAAGGGGGGTGGGGCGTGGCCTTGGTCGGGAGGATGATGCCTCTCACGTGTCAACAGGAAGGAATGAAGGGAGGCCAGTGGAGATGCAGGAAGGGTGGCCTGTTTGTCCACAGGGTGTTACTGAGTTATTACCTAATGGCTTCTATTTACTTAAGGGATTAAGGGATAAAGTCTTCTGGAAATTGGCAGAAATTGGTAATAGGCACTTAGCATCTTTCCTAACTTCTCTGAGGTAAGCTGCAATTACTCCTCCTTTGAATCCGATTTCTGTTCGTTGCTCTAAATTTTTCACTGATCTTCTGACTTATTCCCTGGGGTGACCCTTAATTTCATATGTTCATATAATATTCCATTCTCCCAAGAAGATCATCTCTGTTTTAAGGCTATAGTTATTCTTTATCTCCTCTCTTTTTGGTAAGGCTGAACCAAACCTTCACGGTCTTTGAGGAGGGAGCCATTTTCCCTAAGATGCTTTGCATTTCTTGGTATTATTCAGCAGTAATTGAGTGGGTGTATTTCTCAGCATGTTTTTAGGACTTCCCTGGTGGCTCAGATGGTAAAGCGTCTGCCTACAATGCGGGAGACCCGGGTTCGATCCCTGGGTTGGGAAGATCCCCTGGAGAAGGAAGTGGCAACCCACTCCAGTACTCTTGCCTGGAAATCCCATGGATGGAGAAGTGTGATAGGCTACTGTCCACGGGGTTGCAAAGAGTCGGACATGACTAAGCCATTTCACTTTCACTTTCCTTTCCTTTAGATTTTAGAGTTTGAAATGAAGATTAATAATAATGATGTACATTTTGAACTGCGATGAACTAAAGCAGTCTTCATAGAGAGTGAATAATTTTACTCTTTAGACAGATTTTCCTGTTTGAATTTCTGTATTTTTTATACTTATATATATATATACACACACACACACATACATATATAACTTGGAGAACTGTATAATATGTATCAAAATTGCATAGCTCTCAAGTATATATGCTGTAACATCTGCTTATTTGTGGCATTCTTTTCTTCTAATCAGTATGATTTTGCTTTCAAGCCTGTTCAGTGGGCGGTATACCTGGTTCCAGGAAGTGGTTCTTTGCAGTTCAGGCAATATGTGGATTTTATCAGGTAATATAAATAAGAAAATGGTCACTGGTGAATATCTTTGTTAATACAAATAATTCCACGAACTCATTACTTAATGCAGTCTTTTGATATGTTAGTTTTGTAGTTCACACTGGGAAGAGATACATTTTGGTGCAGAGAAGGATGACATTGAAGATGTTCTTCAAACAAATATGGAAGAATGTTTTAGTGCTGTTGAGTGTTTTGAGGAAGAAGACAGCAATAGCAGGGAATCGTTATCCTTGGCTGAGTATGCTTACATGCTTCCTATAATGTCTTTACAATATTTGACATTAGATTGTATTTTAGCCATGAGAGTGAGGATTTGATATGTTAGCAGTTATAGTGAGGGAATTTTACATAATTTAAAATGTCAACTCTTAGTTTGGAAGATGGGCAGTTTGGGCCTTTAATTCGAATAAAATTCTTTAAAATGCAAAAATGTGTATCTGAAAATGTTTAGCTTCTTAAGCTTACTTATTTGTAAGAGTCATAAAAAGTGATAATTATTGTGTCACTTGCTTGAAGAAAAAGTCTGCTTGATGTTATATTTCAGGAGCTTGAATAGAAACTTTATTTAAGGTTAATAACTGGCATTCAAACCACAGTATCACTTTCATTTTGCTATTTGAAACTGAAATACATTTCTTCAATTTATGTGTGTCTTCAGTGTTTCAGGCATCCTTAAAATCCAGAGCTGCTGAGGGTTATATGGGTGATTGGATTCACTTTTAGATTTTTTGAATTGTAGTTCGACATACATGGCGATTTAGGTAATGTGAGTTGTGGTCATTATTTTTTTTTTCATGAAATACACTGTCTCTGGTGGTGGTTTAGTTGCTAAGTAGTGTCCGACTCTTGTGATCCCATGGACTGTAGCCGGCCAGGCTCCTCTGTCCATGAGATTTTCCAGCAAGAATACTGGAGTGAGTTGCCATTTCTTTCTCCAGGGGATGTTCCCAACCCAGGAGTCCAACCCAGGTCTCCTGCATTGCAGGCAGGTTCTTTCCCAACTGAGCTACAAGGGAAGCCCACTAGTCATTTTCGTCTTGTGTAATACTTCATTACAAAAAACTACCTTTGCTTATTTTAATATTCAAGTATTATATTTCTATAAATTAGTGCAGACTTCGAGTTTTCCTGTTTTCAAATCTTATTTGTTTATACTGGTTAATGAAGGGAGACGTTGTAGAAGTTTAGAAAAGGCATTGAAACGGAGGCTGGTAGAAGTGGTCTCTAGTTATATGAGCTTGGGCCAGTCACTGAACTTCTCTGGTGCTTACTATCATCTGTAAAGTGCTGAGATCCTTTTAGGGCTCTCAGCATTCCATGTTTTCTCACCACTGTCGAAGATGGTGAGTGTAAAAATGATTGTTTCTTAGTAAATGACTTAATAACTATTTCCACAAGAGGGAGCTTGAAAACTGCACTTTACCATAAGATGCCTTAAGTTTTTTAAACAATGGTGAGTTTATAATAAAAGACTCAAGTACCTTTATGCCATATAATAAGCTATTTTGAGAAAAATTTATTATATGGATAAAACTAATAGATTTTAAAGAATTGAAGGAGAGTGTCATGCTTTCCTGTCATCTATGTCATTCAGAGAAAAGAAGTAGCCTTCTTTATTAAACACTTAGGAATACCTTACTTTGTAGGGTTCAGAAAAATGTTTGGTCTACTAGTTATGATTTATTTTTTATGTACTATATATAATTTAGGGATGGTTTTCCCCCCCTTTTTTGTTACTGTTGTTTGGGGAGTGTGGCTTAGAACTTGGATTCAGGGTTTGAATCCTAGCTTTCATACCTACTACTGATGTGGACTTTAACTAAATTATTTAAAGTGAGGATAAAAATAGTATTAAGAGTATTGCCTCATGGGATTGTCATGAAGATCAAATGAGATAATGCTAACATACTTAATAGTGCCTGGCACAGAGATCCATTTGATTAATATGACCTAATTATGGTTATATATAACTTTTTTTTTTCTACTTTCTCTTTTGTTTTAGCCTTTATGAAGAATCTGCAGAAAGTTTGCATCAGTTATCAGACAAGCTTCCTGCTCCTGGTAATATCTTATGGCTACTTTCAGTAATTTACATCTTATCTTAAACTGTGTGTGAATGAATGATAAATTCAGTCTTTATGCTCGTGTTCTCACTTCTGATTTTTTTTTTTTTTTTTCTCACTTCTGATTTTTAAATTCAAAATGAAAAATGATTTTTATTTGAAGTTGTGAAAAAAGACATGCCCCACCACTTTAATAAAATGCATTGTTGAGATGTTAGTTTTCTTAATTGTTTTCATTTACTTAGACAAAAATTAGAACTTACAAAATTAAATACTCATCTGTTTCCTGCTTCAGTTATTACTGAAGAAGTCTTTCTACTGTCTACCATTGTTTTCTACAATGTTCTTTAGAAAACTTGTCCCATGACAACTCCTGGAAAAAGAAATTCTTTAACGTATATCATTTGGGTTACATTCTTTCATGGTGTGAAGTCAGCTATATATGTTGTCATATAGAAAATCATACAGTAAAAGAAGCCCTTGACTCAATTTTTTTTATGCAGTTCATTTTTTTCCCTGTAATGGAAAGTGTATTTTATGAAATAGTGTATTGTTTATTCTTAAAGCTGTATTTTATTTTAATCTTTCTTAAGGTGAATCAATTAGTTGATTCATCAAAAATTTGATATACTTTGGCATCCACAAATACTTTTAAAGAGATTTCTGAATATTTTCATTATTGGAGGTCAGTTATTAAGCAGAGATTTGTTGTGTCTATTATGTGTCAGGCATGTACTGGGAACTGAGTATACAGTTATGAGTAAAGTATATGTGATTATCATAAAGGACTTTAGCTCACAATCTAATCCTTTATTCAGGATTGTATTTTAGCATAAAAGATCTTATATGAAAAATAGCTGAATACATTGACAAATAAGCATCAATTTTTTCTATGAAGTTCAAAATATGAAATGTACAGTTGCTATTTTGGCAAATTGAAATACTTTCATTGTTATACTTTTGTTTGGTTTTTGTTTGATTTTGATTTTTCTTATCCTTCAGTAAAATTCATCATTTTATAAAATTTAAAGTATCATGAAGTTAACCTTCTCTCTCAGGAACCAGTCATATTGTCAGTATAATTGAGTTTTCTGAGTGTTTTATTGTTCCTTAAAAAGAGAAATAATTTATTTGAGCATTACAATTTTACACTCATTCATTCCCTTTTGTGTAACAAAATTAAGTATAGAAGAACATAATGAATTGCACAAGTTTTTTTCCCCTCTGTTCAGAACAACAATAGCATTGATGATCTCACGAGCAATGTATTATTAACAATACACTGGCACATAATTGGCAAGTGATTATGATATAGTTCATTGTTTTTCTGGCATATGCTAGCTGTTTCAAGATAACATGGCTTTAAATCAAGGGATGAACATTTAAAAATTTCGAACTCCTAAAGATGTGTATTGTTTTGAAGAATTTCATAAATTAAAGTTAAGATCCTCCATCTTCTAAAAAAAACATAAAATTCAATTGTCCAGGATACTGTTTTGAGGCATTTTGGGTCTAACATCTTTAAAAAGTTACACTTAATCAACTGTGCTCCAAAATAAAAATGTAAAAAAATTATAAAAATGCCTTTATTTCTTTCTAGGTAGAGCAATGATAGATATAATACTGTTGCCTTCTGACAAAGATCCTCCAAAACTGAGAGACTGTCTGCCTACTGTAGGAGCATTAAAACATTTGAAGGAATGGTATTCAGCAAAAATTACTGTAGCAGGAGATCATTGTGAAATGTAAGCTCTCTGTGCTATTTGTTTTTATAGTTAACTTGCTACCCTGCTTTTAATAGACCCAGCATTTGAAGATTTTTTAAAATGTGACAGTTTTATGGCGGTGGCCAAGAAAGCAACACCTTATGGGAAAACAAACTTTTTGACCAACCCAATGTGTCCTACTGTTCATGGGGTTCTCAAGGCAAGAATACTGAGTGGCTTGCCATTCCCTCCTCTGTGGACCACATCCTCTCAGACCTCTCCACCATGACCCGGCCGTCTTGGGTGGCCCCACACGGCATGGATTTGTTTCACTGAGTTAGACAAGGCTGTGGTCCTGTGATCAGATTGGCTAGTTTCCTGTGATTATGGCTTCAGTGTGCCTGCCCTCTGATACCATCACGCAACACTTGCCATCTTACTTGGGTTTCTCTTACCTTGGACGTGGGGTATCTCTTCATGATTGCTCCTTACCTTGGACGAGGGGTATCTCCTCACGGCCGCCCCTCCTGACCTTGGACGTGGAGCAGCTCCTCTCGGCCCTCCTGCGCCTGCGCAGCTGCTGCTCCTTGGACGTGGGGTTGCTTCTCGAGAACCCCATGAACAGTATGAAAAGGCAAAATGATAGGACACTGAAAGAGGAACTCCCCAGGTCGGTAGGTGCCCAATATGCTACTGGAGATCAGTGGAGAAATAACTCCAGAAAGAATGAAGGAATGGAGACAAAGCAAAAACAGCACCTAGTTGTGGATGTGACTGGTGATAGAAGCAAGGTCCGATGCTGTAAAGAGCAATATTGCATAGGAAGCTGGAATGTTAGGTCAGTGAATCAAGGCAAATTGTAAGTGGTCAAACAGGAGATGGCAAGAGTGAATGTTGACATTCTAGGAATCAATGAACTAAAATGGATAGGAATAGGTGAATTTAACTCAGATGACCATTATGTCTACTACTGTGGGAAAGAATCCCTTAGAAGAACTGGAGTAGCCATCATGGTCAACAAAAGAGTCTGAAATGCAGTACTTGGATGCAGTCTCAAAAATGACAGAATGATCTCTGTTTGTTTCCAAGGAAAACCATTCAGTATCACAGTAATCCAAGCCTATGCCCCAACCAGTAATGCTGAAGAAGCTGAAGTCGAACAGTTCTATGACGATCTACAAGACCTTTTAGAACTAACACCCAAAAAAATGTCCTTTTCATTATAGGGGACTGGAATGCAAAAGTAGGAAGTCAAGAAATACCTGGAGTAACAGGTAAATTTGGCCTTGGAGTATAGAGTGAAACAGGGCAAAGGCTAATAGAGTTTTGCCAAGAGAACACACTGGTCATAGCAAACACCCTCTTCCAACAACACAAGAGAAGGCTCTACCCATGGACTTCACCAGATGGTCAACACCGAAATCAGACTGATTATATTCTTCGCAGCCAAAGATGGAGAAGCTCTATACA